CACAGCGGATGCACGTGCGGCATCGGATTCCAGTCGCGCGCCGCGGCAACGAAACACGCCCAGACATGTGAGCACAGCGCCATTTCAGCCGAAGCTGCGGCGCGCGACCAAGGCCAAGCCACGGACGAACAAGATGCCTCGCGCAACGAGGAGGACCCAGCACCCACCGGGCCCCTCAGCGCGGCAGCGACTGCGACTACTGCAGCCGCATCAAGCGCCACAGAGGTCGCAGCCGCTGCCACCCCACAGAGCGCCGTGCCAGTCGCCACCACCCACTCGGAGCACACGCACGTCCCCCCCGTGCTGTGCTCCCCACCACCACCCCCTGAAGTCCGAGAAAATGGGAAGCGCCGCCGTCTGAACCACCCCGACGCAGCCGACAAGGACACCATGGAACAGCCCACGGTCGAGCAGGTACGCACACTGACGGCCGGCGCAACGAACCTGACCCCGCAACGGCCGACAAGATGGGGGCCCACGCATCGAGCGGTGGGCATCGCCGCGATCGCACAGCTCGCGACAGGCGAGGCGACGACACCAGCTCCGGCAGTGCGACGACCACTGACCTCGGCCACTGGCACTCGTGCCACACGGTGGGGGCCAAGTCACCGCGCGATCGGAGCGGCTGCCATCGCTCACCTGGTCACCGGCGAGATAGCGCATCCAGCGCCACACCCAAGACGCGCACCAGCAGGCACCAGCTCAGCAGCGCCTACGCGACCGCGCACTCGCTGGGGACCTCGCGCGACGGCACCAACACCATTCGACGCACGGCGACCGGGCTCGCGCTGGGGCCCCCCACACCCGCGCACGGACAGAGCTCCAGCACAACCGCCGACAACTGCGGCGCCCACACCGACCACCACCATGGACGTGGATGACGGATCGACGGAGGAGGAGCCATGGCTGTTGCGGTTTGATGGCGCATGCAGGCGCAACCCTGGCCCCGGCGGTGCTGGTGCCGCGCTATTTAGCCCTGACGGCTCCGTAGTGTGGACGTGCTCGCACTACCTCCCGGCCAGCACGGAGACCAACAACACTGCCGAGTACACGGCGCTGCTGGTCGGGGTGCAGAGCGCACGCCACCACGGAGCCAAGCGCCTGCTGATCGAGGGCGACAGCAACCTCGTTCTGGCCCAGGTGCGAGGCACGTTCGGGTGCAACAACCCAAAGCTGCGCCAGCTGAGAAACCGAGTGCGGTACGAGTTGCGAGCGCTGCGTTGGCACCGCCTCCGTCACATCGACCGCAAGGCCAACGCGCACGCCGACCGCCTCGCCAACAGGGCCCTGGACCAGCGCCGGACCTCCGTGGAGTGCGGTCCCCATGAGAGCGGCATGGACGAGTGCAGCGCACCGTCATCGATGCCTGCCTCGAGTCCCGAGCACCAGGCGCCGGACCGAACGCGCAGCGCGGACGAGACTGACCCCGACCCCGACCTCGCCATACTGGACATCGAGGCGGAGATTGCCGCGCGTGACGGAGGTGAGGTCTTCCCCACCCTCCCCATCGGTCCACCAGCACGGCACCCCCGCCTGCGCCTCCGGCAACTCGGCGACGACGAACACGACGCCGCGGCTGGCGCCCTGCAAACGATGGCGGAGGCGATGACCAGCCGCATCACCGACGCTGACAGCTGGACGTCGTGCGAGGGTTACATCAGCGCCATCCCGGACCGCATCCGAGAGGCACTGGAGCAGTTCACTGTGACGCTCCCCAGCCCGACGACACGGACCAGCCACGCAGCTCGTGACCGC